AAAGTCTGTGCTTCTAAAGAATGTCCTCACCCATGGCAACAGGTGCCTGTGTGGGCAAGCTGTCAGTCTCTGGCCTCTGCATGCACATGCATGGACATGTGCACCTGCACACTCACATACATACATACATCACATGCATAAAACATACTCCCACTCACAAAATGAATACATGAAATACCATTTTTTAAAAATGCTTTTTGAATACTTCATATAGATGTACAGGCTGAAGGAGCCCAAATGAGAGTTCCTTGTCTAAAATTAAACACCACACAGCAATGCAAATACCCCTTAGTTTTGGCAAAAAGAAAAACTTTAGGATTCAGAAATTCAATTTATAATTCCTTTGGAAATAATGTATATGTATGCTTTTACTTTTTGTTTGTTTGTTTGTTTGTTTAACTTTCTTGGCAAGTGAAAACAGATAAGGGAGTGGAGAAAAGAAAGAAAGGAGACATGGAAAGGTAGGGATGGGAGAGGGAGGCTGATTCTGCCATCCCATATACAGTATAAAGAACATAAAATAACCTTTCTAATAGATACAAGAGTCTTCACAATTGACACACACTGGCTGCAGTTGTGACTCGTGTAGAATGCACTCACTCTTAATCATGCAGAGGTAAATTATGAGAGCAGTCTTTACCATCACAGACAACCTTAAGAAGGACTTTGAACATGACTTACAGACCCTGGCTAGGGCCAGTCTGACTGGTCCTGAATTGGTTTGAAATCACCACATCTCATTTGCTTTGAGTTTATCTATAGTTTTGGCTCTGTGAGCTTTTTTTGGTTTTGTTCTGAGATTTCATTTATTTTTTTTTTATTTTATGTGCATGAGTGTTTTGTCTTCATTTATGTATATATGCGCACCACATGCATATCTGGTGCCCTCAAAGACAGAAGAGGGAGTTGGATTCCTGGAAATTGAGCTATAGGTGGTTGTGAGCCACCGGGGGGATGCTGGGGGTCAAACTGGATCCTTTGCAAAAGCAACCAGTGTTCAAACCACTGAGCCATCTCCAGCTCCACATTTGTAAATTCTTATTTATTGCTTAACAAGATAGTTACACAGTGTACGTTTGATAGGGTCTGAGGATACATTACTGATCAATTTTGATGGAATTTGCATTACTGGAGTAATTGACAATGAGCAGAAGTTGCTGTAATGTTACAAGTACATTAATGCTCTAAAAGAAAGACAGGCGATGTCTTGGCAAAATTCAGTCTCCCAGGCAGTGCTAGAGAAGGCATTCTAGAAAGAAGTGACATGTTGGGGTTAGGAATCAGGGAGGGATTTAATCCTTGCTGCCCTAACTCAGAGATCTTGAGGAAATGTCATGTCCAAGACTACAGCTTTTCTCTGAATGTTCAGTTCAATACTCATGGAGTGTTGTACTGGGGCTATTTTCTAGGAGGAAAAAAAAAACAACCCAGATGTTGGTTAACCTTAACTAAACTGGACTGTTCTGAGCGGAAACCACAGAGCTCTGAAAATGTGGCCAAGCCAGGAGAAACATAAAGACCCTGCCAGCAGGGGATGGTATAATCACCACCGTGGAAACGAAACGTGAGCTTCCCTCATCTCCAGTTTGGAAAATGTCGGCAAAATTCACTGTGAAGAGCTGAGAGCCCCTGAAAGGCAGGAGTTTCTACTAAGATGATTATTATTTCAGATTTACTTCCAGAGCACATTAATTTGTTTCCCCGTTCTTTTTGATCCACAGCATGGCAAACATCTGCTGAAAATACCTGTTGTCTCCATCTGTAAACCATGCCAGCCAGCTGAACAAGACTCTCCTTCTAGTCAGGCCCCCCATTCAAGAGCAAATGGAATAATCTCGGTAGGGTCACCAAATCTAAAATTAAGCCTAAAACCAGATTAGCCCGATCTACTTATCTAAGATAGCATTTGAACCAAGCCTGCTTCAGAGAAATGGCCTCTTCCTGGATCCCAGGGTCCCCCAATGGATCCAAGGCCTGCACCCCTCTTAGCAGTCATCCTGGTCTGATGCTAAGAAGTATATTAATAGCCTGTGTACATTAAACTTGCTCTACTACGAGCACACTGCTTAGTGGTCTACAGAGGACAACTCTGCCCAGTTATTTCCTATTAATGAAGTGTCCAGAACCCCTTAGTACACTAAATGCACCCTCATGGCTTACCTCAGTAAAGCCATCTCTTAAAACTGAATTGTCAAAGCTGTATTCACTCACTATACAAAAAGATCTACAGTAGAATCATAGCCTTTAACATAATATTTTAAAACAAACCACAGGACATCAAAAAGTTTGTCAACAGGCTTTTTTTTTTTTGCTAATACCACATAAAAGTAAAAAAATAGTTTTGTTCTTTAGTACTATGATAAAAAAAAAATAACTAATGGTAGGCAGCTGGAGAGATGTCTCAGCAGTTAAGAGGACTTGCTGCTCTTTCAGAGGACCCAAGTTCGAGTCCCAACACTTACATGGTGGATCACAGCCTTGTGTAATTCCAGTCTCAGGGGATCCAATGCCCTCTTCTACCTCCTCAAGCACCAAATGGTGGACAGGTACACATGCAAGCAAAACCCATACACTTAAATAATTTAAAAAATATTAGATTGGACCTAGCACAACTTTTGACATCCTAATTAAAGGGTACAAGTGCAAATTAGATATTACTTTATGAAGATATTAAAACAGACTGGTCATCAAGCTTGGGCATTTTCTTAAAAGTTTTCTATTTCAGATAACTCTACAAAGCTATGCAAAATTCACCAACATAATAAAAGTACTCAAAGGTTTATACTACATTATCCTCCCTGTCCCCACTTTCCTCATTCCCAACTGGGACTTTGGGTAGGTTAGGCAAACACTCAACCACTAAGCTGTGTTCTCAACTGTCATTTTACCTTTTATGTTGACACAGGGTTTCACTAAGTTCCCCAGACTAGACTCGAACCCTTACTGTAGCCCAGGCACAACAGAACTTGTAATCTTTGCTTCTGTCTCCCTCCCAGGCATCTGAGATTATAGACCTGCTACCGGGACCAGCTTACACTCACCATTCTATGGGATTTCTAAAAAGAATGAAAATCAATTGAAATTACCCAGTTGAACTAGAAAGGTACATACTTTGAGTGCCATTAGCTATAAATCCCAAGAGTCAAAGACAACTGAGTCAATAATGGAAAAAAAAAAAACCAATGTAGGCAATTTGATTCAAGTACTAATTCATAAACGTCTCTTTCTTACATGAATAAAGTAGATTTGATAATAGGTATTGACCCAATTACAGGAGCATGTGCGTAGGCAGAGACCATCTCATAGTCCATCATAAAGAATGAACATATTCTCAGTACACATTTATTACGCTATTATCCTTCCACGATTTAAACAAAGTATTTGCTTTTCCAAGTTTTGGCTTATTTCAAAACTAAATTTGTATCACTAGAACTGGGTTGCACCTGGAAGCCCTGAAATCACTGCAGCACCACAATACCACTGCTGCCAAAAAATAAAATAAAAAAAAAAAAAAAGGCCAATGCTGGGTCATATATTTTTTTTTTCTTTTCCTGAACTTAGGAAGCTTTTGCAAATCAGATTTTTTAAAAAAAAGAAGATGTGGGCCAGGGAGATGGCTCAGAGGGTAAGACGTTTGCTGCTGAGCCTCAGAGCCAGAGTGCAATCTCTGGTACCCACAGAGTGGGAGGAGAGAACCGGTTCCTGAAAGCTGCGCTGTCACCTCCACAGGCGTACAGGTGTGTGTGCATGCACAGGTGTGTGTGTGCATGCACAGGCGTGTGCTCCAGAGCACACACATACAGATACAGAGTAAGAGTTAAAAAAAGCCTCTTATGACTAACAGAGACAGCTCAGCATCTATAAGCATGCCTTTACATGAATAGTGGTAAGGTGTTTCCAGAAACACTAAAAATTCACTATGCCAGTGTCCTTCATAAACGAAATCTCTCTCAACCTTTAACGAGCCACGGCAAGGCAAAGGAGCTATTTCAAATCCAAATGATGGTATTTTAAAATGTTTCCACCATTTGTTTGGTAAATAAAAAAACAGGGAACGTTAAAATCTCCCTGAGGATCCTGTTCCCTGATTCTGAGTAATCTACAGAATCGCATTTTTCACATGCATGGCACTTTTCCAAGCCACAGGAGTATGGAAAACATCAGTGCTGGGATCCAAAGTTTGCTGTGCTTTCAAAAGTAATCATTTTCCTTTTTTCAAGATGCCACTGTAGGTCTCTTGCATTTCAGTAATAAATATTAAACATCAATTTGCTATTTTGGTTCATCTTTGAGAAAAGCATTAATCAGTCCAGAGAGAAACACTATGTTTTTTTGGTTTGTTTGTTTTTTTGTTTTTTCTGTCGTTTGAAGAAGGAGACCACACGCTTCAGTTGTCTACTATGGCTGGTGGCCCTTATTCTAACAAGGAGGGAAAAAAAATCTAATGCCCAACGGTCATGTTTAATATATCTGCGGGCTGGAATTCAGTTACAGTGGCCTTCAAAGAGTCTTTTTATTAAGTTTTCGTGAAACTTAAAAAAGTTTTAAAATCTGCAGGAGGCCAGACCGAGCACTCGCTACACACTGTAATCTGACACTAGGCTGAAGACTGACCAAGTTTAAGTAACCCAAGAGGAACTGTTTCCTGCTTTCGGTTAGAACAGTCGACAATGACCTGTAGTAACACTGCCGAGGCGGGGTTACTAGCGGGCAGTAGATGTTGCAGTCAGGAAGTTGGTGTCTGGGGTTTTCTTTTTCTTTTTCTTCTGTAAGAAGTCAACCCGGCTCTCCCATTAATAGTATAGCGTCCAGAAAAACCAAAACAAGAGTTGGAAAACCCACCCAGGCCAACTGTGCTTTGCAAAACAAATTTAAGTTTTTCCTGAACTTCCTCTGCACGAAGTCAAATTTGCCCGGGAACATCTCTGAAAAGCATGATAGTCCCTTCTAAGTGGAACCAGAGGTATACTTGGCATTGGTTTATTTCTGCCTCACTTTACCTTGTCTGCTCCTGTAAGATGAGATGGGGCTCCACAAAGAACTTGACTCTCAGTTTGAGCCGGTAAGGTGCCAGGCCGTCCATCTGCTGGGAGATCCGGTTTCTCAGATTCAGCCATAAGCTTTCACCTTTGCTGCCGGTGAACTGCAGTCCAAAATAATCAACTTCTATGATCCCCAATCGCCGACACACCTAAAAACAAAGGTAGCGGGTATAAGCAATGTAAACTCACGGGCTCCATCTGAGAGAAGGGCAGCCACCTACTTGGACCTTGTTATAATTCCAGTTCTACCTTGTAATAATTCCAGTGGTAGAATGGAAAAAGAATGTTTTAAGGTACTATCGATGTCCAAACCCAGCGCTCAAAGGAGGCTCGGCCTTGCTTGAATATTTCTAGGGTCTGGCCAATTGCACAGGGAAAGGAGTCCCCCAAAACAGACTTTCCAAAAGCCTGAGAAGGAAGAATCCAAGGGTATTTTATTTCTTACTCCAATCGCTGGAATCCCCTCCACCAGCACCATCTGCACAGCTGATTTGGCAGCTTATTATCTGGACAGTTTTAACCATCTGGATTCCAAAAACACAAACACATTGGGGAAGCATGCCACAAGTGTCAGCTAAGCCTTACAAGTGGCTTTCCAATCAGCTCAGGTCTACAGGTCCCGAAGGCACAGTGTTTGAAGGGGATCAAATGTGTCTGCCATATCCACCATGCAAATACGCTCAGAGCCTTGTCACACTAAAGAAAACACACGTGTAAAGACCCCAAGCAGGAGACTGCCAGAACCGTTCCCTGCAAATTACCCAGGATACTCAGGAGCCCCAGCAAGCCAGGAGTGTCAGGTGAACTCTCCTTCTGAAAAGTGGCTTGAGACCTGGGCCCACCTGGTCAGCTAGGGAACCCCGGAGCCCGCGACTGCCTGCAGCCACCTCATCTCGGGACGTGGGTGGCGCTGCCGGGCTTTTGCGAGGACCCCACGGGCGGCATCACGCACACACCTGCGGCAGGTGTGCCGGGCCACCTTCTTTAGAGAAAAGTGCCGGGGTAAGGGACAGGGTTGCAGCTCCCGGCAGTGTCCTGGTTCCCAGGCCCGGGATCCCCCCACCATACGCGTTCTCTACTCCCCCCACCCGCGCCGCCCGCGGGGAGGAGGAGGCTGGAGCCTGGCGTCCGGGGCGCGCTCCGCGGGCCGCTGCTGCAACGTCGCCCGGCTCCTGAGGACCAAAGCCCCAGGCTTCCCGGGGACAAGCGGGGATCCCCTTTCCGATCGTCGCCCTCACCTGGTTGAGACAGTCCTCGCCGTTGGCTTTTGCCTCCACCTCCACCTCCATCAGCACTGCGTCCGGCCTCGTCACATAGCACAGCATGGCTGGGGCCGCCGCCACCGCCGCCACGGCCGCTTCTTCTCGGGTGTACGCCGGGGCTGTCGCCTCACTGTAATCGCTCTAAGTCCGCTCCGGGCTCCGTGAGGAAGGTGAAGCGGTGCGGCCGCCTGCCCTGCACCCCACGCAGCCCGCCGCTCGCGTCCCCGCCACCCCCGCGACAGCCGGCTCCTGGGTGCTCCACGGCCGCGCCGCTCGGACAGCCCGACTGCTTGCGCCGCGACAGGCACGCGTCTTTTATAGAGGCCCCGCCCCCTCCGGCTCCGGCCTCCGCCAATCACGGCGCAGTTGCCCCTCCTCCCCAGCCCCGCCAGCCAATACATAGTTCCGATAGTCTGCAGCCCCGCCTCCCGGCCCCGCCTGTAGAGCTGCGGGAGGTGGGAGCCCCTACCCCCACCGCTGTACGGTCACAGCCTCCGCCGCTGGGCGACGCTCCTCCTAGCCCGCTGTCGCCTGCAGCTCCAAGGGACGCCTTTCTGTCGCGGCTTTAGAGGACCATGATCAAACGCTCCCGCGATGCCACTGTTCTCACGACTCCCACTCCAGTAACCAGGTGGTTTGTGAGAGCCAAGAGGGAAGCCGGCAAGCCGGAGCCTAAAGTTAAGGCTTTCCGCCTGGGATTTGCCACTGAGGTTTGTAACACGCACAATTTGAGCAGAAAAGTTTTTGCAGTTGACCAATAATAAGCTGGGTAGCTTGATCTGATAGCACCATTCTTACATTAACGCGTGCCAAGGGTTTTTAATGCGTGGGTTCTGCTAAACCGAAACACCTAACAGAGTGCTGGGGCCTCCATTGTGTTACCCATCCTTATCTAGCATCGAGTTCACTCACTATACACCTGATACTTCCTCTGTCTTTTCTCTGCGACAGCCAGATGTTACTCCATCTTAAAGGTAAGGGGCTCACCTGAGGACCTAGCGTGGCGGGGGTGGGGAGTTAGTCTCAATAGAAGAGATTACTGATCTTACATGTCTTCACTACCTGTTTCTCTTGGTCTATACAATTACTTTGTCTGCCTCTTTGGTTTGTAACAGTGCTTCTCAACTTGTGGGTCGCAACCAGTTGAGAGTCAAAAGACCCTTTCACAGGGGTGTCACCTAAGACCATCAGAAAACAGGGGTATTTACATTATGATTCATAATAGTAGCAAAATCACAGTTATGAAGTAGCAACGAACTTAATTTTATGGTTGGGGGTCACCACATCGTGAGGAATTGTATTAAAGGGTTGCAGCATTAGGAAGGCTGAGAACCACTGGTTCATAAGATAAGCCAGATGTGGGTTTCAGCCTTGAATCCTTGGAAAACTTCCTCTCTGAAGCCCAGTATCCTAACAGTAGAATAGAGTCTAGATGCTAATAGGAACTAGACTTCCCTCAGCATCCCTGTGAAGCAATCTTGCCATCCCTGCCTGCCAATGATTGTATCTCTGTCCCAGTGGCCCGTTTACTTGCTGTGTATTTAAGACACTGTCTTGCTTTATAGCTCAAGCTGGCAGCGCACCTCATACTTGGGCTCAGTTATACTTATTTCTGAGATGTGGAGAGTATCAGAGAAGAAGGGATGAATCTTAACACAGCCCTTGGTTTAAGCCAATTCGGGGCAAATGTATTCCGGCAAAGTCGGACGCTTGCATGGTGGCTTCATTCTGCTGCTTGCTCCCTGCATTCCAGGCGGCAGATTTGGGAAATGTATCCGGGAGATAACATTTAGATTATCGTTATCTAATCTCTGCTCCATCACGTGAATGTTCAGCACAAGGAGAGGAGGCCATATGGAAACTGGTTATATTGGTTAATATTTTTGAAAGGCCAAAACCAAAGCTAGCTAGCTTAAGAAAAGGGGAATTTAGGGGACAGATTTGGGGAACCCCTAGAAACTGAGGGGATGGACCAGAAGTGGAAATGAGTAGAAAAGAGCTGAGGAAGAACAAAAACAAAACAAAAACCCAAACAAAATAAATAAAAACAAGACAAGAAAATAAAACAAAAGCATTGCTATTTTTGTGGAGCAGCTGTCTTTGAAACTGTCTTCCATTGGGTTTGGGCAGGGATTTTTTTTAATGGTTTTTTTCAGAGAAATGATTCTATATTTATATTTTTATATGAGCAGCTAAATAATTCGTAGAGGCACAGGAAATGTCTGTCAGGTTTAAATTTTTTTAATTAAGAAAAATTTAACAACCATCATTTGCTTACAAAACAGCTGATTAAGATTGACAGGGGGTATCTAATCCATATCCATTGAGTTCCTTTTCTGGGATCCTCAGTAAAGATCTTATCATTTTAAAACCAAGTAGCACCTGATAAGGGCAAGTGAAATGGCTCTGTAGGTAAAGGCACCTGCCACCAAATCTGATGACCTGAATTTGATCCCATGACAGAGAGAACCACCTCCCACAGGTTGTCCTCTGACCTCTGCATGTTACACATATGACCGCTAAGATACAACAATTGTTTTTTTAAAAAGAGAATCCCCAGATAAGACTAAAGAAAAGAAGTGGTTTTAACAACACAAAGGTAAAGGACTGTGATCGTAGCTCAGTTGATCGAGTACTTGCCTAATATATACAAAGCCTCCTTGGCTTTAACCGCTAACACCACAAACTGCGTGAGGGCAACTGTGTGCCACCAGGCTAGCAGTCCCAGCAGCACTCGGGGGTAGGGGAGAGGTAGATACAGAAGAATCAGAAGCTCAAGGTTATTGTAGGTTAAGGAGGGAGTGTAGCTTGAGTTTTCCTGCCTGGCCCACAGTCAGGACAAATCTCTATCACCCGCCAGTCCCACAGCCGTATGGCCATGGCAGGCTTCTTGCTAACTGTTCTTACAGATTAAATTAATCAATTTCCATTAATCTATACCTTGCCACATGGCTCGTGGCTTACCGGTATCTTCATATGCTGTTTCTCATCATGGCGGCTGGCAGTGTCTCTCTCACTCAGCCTTCCACTTCCCAGCTCTATTCTCCTCCTTGTCCCACCTATACTTCCTGCCTGGCCACGGACCAATCAGTGATTTATTTATTGACCAATCAGCAACACATTTGACATACAGACCATCCCACAGCACGGGAGTTTGAGGACAGCCTTGATTAAAGACTGTACCAAATAAGTAAGTAAGTAAGTAAATAGATAGATAAATAAATAAATAAATAGAACACTATGAGCTGGGTGTGGTGGCACACATGCACACAAGACAGGCATCCCAGCACTTAGGAGGCTGAGAGAGGTAGATCATGAGTTTGAGGCCAGCCTGGGCTACATAGTCAGACTCTATCTAGAAAATGAAAACAAATGTATAAAGTGCTTGCTGAGGAAGCATGAGGACCTAAGTTCAGATTCCTAGCACCACCTAAAAAGCAGGGCATGGTAGTACGTGTTTGTAAACCCAGTGTTGGGAGGAGAAGAGGAGAGGATCCCAGGGGCTCACTGGCCGGCCTGAAAGTCTAGCCAATCAGTGAGCTCCAGGTTCAGTAAGAGACTCTGCTAATCAGAAAATAAAAATAAAATGTTTAAAATGGTGACGAGTGATATAGATACCTACTGTCAACTCCTGGTCTCTGCATATGAGCAGACATACAGAAAACAGACATGGAAAACACACACAGAAAACTGCCCAACCAAACAAGCAACAACCCTCCGCCCCCCCCCCCCCCCAAAAAAAAAAGGTAAAACCAGGCGGCATGGTAAAGGGAAACAATCCTAATGGGAAGAAAAGAATCCAGGCTTCTCCTGGTGTGCGCGCACTGGAAGGCTGTGCCCTCTCTCTTCCCTTCTGCCATTTCTTCCTCGTGATAAGATAGAGACTGGTTAAGAAATGGGGAAGCTGAGTGAGAAAGCACATTATGTTTAAAAGACTCAGTTAGGGAATAGCAAACCCAGAGTAGAATTGCTTCCTGGAAGATTCCACCATCTGCCAATGCTACGGAGCGTCTGGAGCCAGTTTCAAGCCCCAGCTGAGTCTAGCTCCAAAATAAGAGACTCTGAATATCCAGGGCTGGAGGTGGGAAGTGAGTCCGATTGAGCCGTGGTTGGAGTCAGGGAGACACGCCATGCTCTTGTCTGCTTTTCTTTGCTCTCAAGTAGGGCATAATGGCTCCTGCCAGTAATTCCTAGTACCCAGGGGCCTGAGGCAGGGAGGCTGCCATCAATTTGAGGCCAATCTGGACTCCAAATTCTGTCCAGCCTGGGCTACAGAGTGAGACCCTGTCTCCCCCCTACACACACACACACACACACACACACACACACACACACACACACACCCCAAAAGAATAAAGCTTTATACTTAGCTAGCACAGTAAAAAAGTTGCCTGTATGAATGCAGATTATTAAAAACAAAAACTCCATCAAAGTGACAGAACTGATTAACTCGCTACAGTCCTGGCTGTTCCAATAGACCCAGGCATAGGTTGTTCCTGTGTCCCATAGGCTAGATCGCAGTGGTAGTGCAATGGTTATTGCCATACGCACTCTCCTAGCTGAGCATGTGGCCTGCTCAGCATGGCTGGATGTCTGCTTTTGCTTATTATATTCTCATCACTGCATGCCAGGCTGCAGTAGTCCTGCACTGGGTCACAGGAGAGGTCCTGGGGAGGAGACGTGGTTCCGTCACCTGCCACACCCTCCTCACGCTCTCCACATTTATGTGTAAGATCATCAGAGGAAGAAGAGTTAGCTACTGCCTTGAAAGCGGTCCCTCGCTTTCACACATTATTCAAGCTAATTATTCACATAAGCAACGCTTCATCAGGCATAAGTGTGTTAGAACAAGTTGAGTGAGCTGAAATCTCTAATTTGAAATATTAGCCTCATGAAATCCAGTAGTTTAATTTGATCCGTACCTACTATCAAAGCACAGCATCTCACTTCCTGAACTGGCTTAAAGCAGAAAGGGGACAGAGGGAGAATCCCTGTATTAAAAACTGGGAGATCTGAAGTGGCATTGTCTTAATTGGATAGCTGTTTAAATGATTTTTTTCTTCTTTCTAGTTACTAAGATAGTGACTTTTCGTGATGGATTACTTGAAAAAGAACAGTACACAGAGAAAAATAAAGTGGCTGTCATTTGATTAGGACTTTTCTGTTTAAACTTGATGCTTTGATGTTGCAGTCTGCATACACTGTGCTCTAAATATTCACTGTGGGGTCAGTGAGAGGGTTTGGTGTAGATAAAGTGCTTGTTGCTAGGCCTGATGACGTGAGCCCCCA